AAAAAAAAAAAAATTACATAAGAATGTAGGCCAGGCAGTGACTCATGCCTGTAGTCCTAGCAACTTGAGAAGGTGAAGTAGGAGGATAGATTAAGCCCAGGAGTTCAAGGCTGCAGTGAGCTAGGATCACGCCACTGTAACCCAGCCTAGGTGACACAACAAGACCTTGTCTCTTAAAAAAAACCCCAACATGTATTGTATTTATACATATAAATATATATACACATATATGTATGTATATAAAAATGTATGTATATATTTATATACATATATAAAAATATATTTTATATATTCATTTATATATACATATTTACATATATTTATGTATATATACATATTTATATATATGTATTTGTATGAATAAAAAAGGACTTCTATGAACACTAATCAAGACCTCTTTTTTTAAAAAACCTATAGTTTGTAGTATATAAGTATAAACTAATGAGATTGGGGGTTTTGTTGCTTGGGTTTTTCATTATTAAATCCTCTGGCCTGCCATATCTGGTGAGTACTGCCAATGAGAAGTCGCTCTGGGAGACCGTGTACATACTCCAACCATGCTGCCATCATTCAGGCAATTTTATTTCTATTTAGGGATTATCTTCAAGGTCACTATCATGCCCCTCTTTCCCTCACTTAGTTCACTGACGGTGCACGAAACGTACTGCTAGGCACGAAGCAAACAGTAATAATGCCAGCAGTAGCAAACCTTTACCTTTCAAGGATAAACATCATTGGGGGACCAGACACCCTTGGAGCTAAATTATTTTCAAGAAGAGGGTGGCAAGCTGAGGAACACTTTGGGGCTAGGTGGGACAGTAGCTTGGACTTGAAGGTGGCTGGCATCCCAATGCCCCATGTCCACCTAAAACCTCTCCAACTGGTGGCAGTAAGGATTTTATGATCTTCTCTATGGCCTTACTGATAGTGCCCAAGCCCATCTAGCTCTCCCCACTGGAGCTCCTCTACAGGCAGATTCAGACTGCCCCTGCTCCCTGCAAATGCTGTATGTGTCTCCTACTTCATCCACTGGTCACTGCCCCAGGTATGACTGGGAGAGTCGCTTCTCTTCAGGAACCAGCTTCCCCTGCTCAGGGCTGACCCATAGGGACACTTCTACTTTCTAAACATCAGGACCCTCTCCCAGGCCTGCTTGGAAGCTGAGCTCCACTTCCCCAGCCGACCCTATACTAGCTTCTAGGAACAACGCTCCCACTCAGGCCTGCATGGGGTCCTGTACCAGGGCATGCAAAGTAAGTACATGTGTACACGGAAACACTCGCATACACAGGAGGGATGAGAAAAAGGCTCTGTCTGTTATGTGGGGTAGTGAAGTCCTCTGGGTCGTATAAATAAAGAAGTCTCAGCTGCCTGAAAGTGATGGAAGGGGAAAGATTGGGAAGTGTTCTAAGCAACGGCGACATCACTGGAGTAAGAATCTCATTTTCTATAAAAGCCCCTTTGAAGACTAAGAATTACCTCACTATATGTCTTACTATATTTATCAAAAGGGAGGGGGGCCTGTGTTGGCATCAAATTAGCTCAGGGAGCCCAGAACCTCTAAGATAACCTCAGCAAAGCTAACAGTTTGTGGGTTTCTCGTCCCAGGCCGCAGAGCCCGTAGACTGTGCTTACTCTCAGTCTGTCCATTTCCAGCTGGTCCCTGCTGGCGGGGGTGGCCAAGGGGGAGCTGGGCACTGTGGTGGGGGAAGATGCAGTGCCCTCGCATTCGCTCAGCTTGATGATGACCTCGTCCTTGGCCTGGATGGTCTCCATCAGCATCCCCAGCTGCTCATTGAGCTCGCCCACTTTGCCCTTCAGTGTCCTCACTTCCTGCTGAAGACTCTCCTTTTCCAGGCTGACCCTCTCCAGCTGGCTGGTGAGGCCCAGAATCTGGTCATCCTTCTGGTGCAGAAGCTCAAGCGTGTCCTTCGGGACCCCCTCACAGAGCCGGCTGCTTGTGAAGTACTTGTCATACTGGGATGACCGGACTGTCTGCTGGAGCAGTCGGACAAGCTCCTGGGAGCCAAAGAGAGGGTGGAGTAAGGTGAGGAGAGTGAGGAAGAGGAGGAGAAGTGGCCATCACGACAACACTGCATGGAGCAACCATCGGCATTTGAGGAAACGCAGAATCTTTACTGCAAACATTTTAATACTGAACTTCCTCTTGAAGGATCTCAAAAATAGAGAGGAAAAAATATTTTCTCTATCAAGACTGTCTGCAGAGAACAATAATAGGAAACAGGAAATAATAGACACATACACTGTAGCTTACCAGTAGTTACAAGCAGACATTCATCGGTATTAAAAAACTGTGCTCTGACATTGACTGAACTTCTGAGCAATTAAGTGTAATCAGGTCTTGTTTGCTCAGAAGGAAATTGTTTAACAGGATGTAGAAACTCTTTTTAAACAACTGTTAAAGAACTCTATGATGAAGGCTTGTTTACAGAGATTCAATCTGAGGGGCAGGACTGAGTGTGGGTACAGACAGCACCCTCTTCTGACCTCCCTTAAGGGATCTTCCAAATCCTGAAAAAATGACCACAGAGGCTGTGACAACACTAAAGTTTTTAGGGGAAAAGCCCCTCCTGGGAAACAAAACTGTCCCCAGAAAGATTCGGGGAAACATACACCAGGCTTCATTCCTCTGGTCTTTAGCTGCTGATGTGGGATAAGACAAAAGCCAGGAGAAGAAAAATTACCTTCTGACTGGACAGGTCTTTCTTCAACCGTTCCAGCTCCTCCTGCTGGCTCTGCACCTGCAGCTGCATTTCAGAGGCCGGCTTGTTGGTGCTGCCACTGCCTGATGTTCCCTCGATTGCAGGGTCACCACTGCTGTGACGGTTTTTGTACGACCCAATTATGTCTTTCAAAGGGCGTTTTCCTTTGTAGGGGTTGCGTCCAAAATCAAAGGGGAATCCTGAGCCAGTTACTCCTACATAAAAACAAAATAAAAAAAAATTGTTTTTTTTAAGTGCAGGTCTAAATCTTCCCTTTGGAAACATCAATACAATAAAGCATTCTCACAAATCTTCCTCCAACAAGCTCTGCCTTCATCACCTAGAGAACGCAGGGAGACACAGACGACTCTCTGCCCCCACCACATTCTAACCAAAACACTTACAACCAACCAACCTTGATTCCCCCCACTGGATCTTTCCTTGGAAGCTTCTATCCTATAACCACTTGAAAGGAAAAGTAAAGCTGGGGAGTGGTGGTTCATGCCTATAATCCTAGCACTCTGGAAGGCTGAGGCAGGTAGATTGCCTGAGCTCACGAGTTTGAGACCAGCCTGAGCTAGAGTGAGACACTGTCTCTAAAAATTGCCAGGTGTTGTGGCAGGCACCTGCAGTCCCAGCTACACAGGAGGCTGAGACAAGAGAATCGCTTGAACCCAAGAGTTTGAGATTGCTGTGAGCTATGATGCCACAGCACTCTATAAGGGTGACAAAATGAGACTCTATCTCTAAATAAAGAAA